GGGGGGTTTAACTGACCTTGTGCGAAGGCACCGCGAGCAATTTGATCCCCAAAGGTAACCTTCATCAGTTTCAGCATCACCCGATCAATCTGGGGAATGATTTCGGAGTCTTCTTGGAACTTCAGTACATCGAATCGGCGACACTCCATAAAGACCGCCAAAATCCTACACACAATTGCGTAAACCCATTGGATGTGTTCTCTCCGTTCGTCAAAGCATTTTTCGATGTCGTAAAGCCAACCCTGGCATGAAATCGCGAGCGCTCTTCGAGTAGCTTCCGCTGCTGAAGGTGGTGCCACTGCTGGGAGGCCGAAGCGGCGCTGCTCCGTCCGAACCGCACCGGCGGTTTGTCCTATTCCAAGGACCTGGAAGAACAGACAATAGCTTATCAAGGCTTTCAGGCTTTTGTCGATAAGGGGTGACCGGGCGCGGTAGTAGAAGGCCCTGTTTAGAGTTTGATATCGGGCTGCGGATTTCTTGTCATGGAAGAAGTCGCTCATGAATAGATAGAAGTGATCTCCGGATGCCACATATTTTTCAACGTATTTAAGAACCTCCTTGAGATCCACCTGAGCACATATGTCCCTCGGTCTTTCGGTGACTTCGCGCAAACCATCGCCGTGGCTCTCTTCGGTCCAGGAGATAGGTTGAACCGCGCCGTCTGTTTCAATGTCGTGATACGCGACAGGGAAGCTGAGGCCGAACCCGTGATTCAACTCAGAGTGGATTGTATTTGGAGATGTATGACTGCAAGTTCCAGGACGCAAACTCGAAATTTCGGTGCCTCGCAGTGTTTTCACAAGGTCACCTAATCTTTCGTAGAAGTTAGAACCCATTGGACGTACCATCTCACGACACGGCGAGAGCCTCTCGCACTAACTCGGACACGTCGCGTTGGACTTTGCTCTTCATCTGAACATCGACACCTTACAGCACGAGAATCCGACTTAATATAAGGGGATTTTGGTCAACGGCTAGGACGCTTGAAAGAGCGGTGTAAATCTCCCTTGCTCCATCCCTGAAGACGAGTCTCTGACCTGATCGTGCGTTGGGGTTGGTCGCCGCTGGCGACCGATGCTATCATGCCACCCTATAGGAGATGGAAGCAGTAAACCTATTTCTAGACTGGAGGGATGAGTGGCTAGAGGGACAACGCAGCGTCAACGGTCAGAATCAGGTTGGAACATGGGTCGCATGAGGATTAGGCAACCATTTCAGCCGTGCCGTCGACCTGCGGGCAAGGCTTTTTGGGGTGGGTTGAGCGCCCGACTGCAGATTTTGGAGGCCAGGCTGGCAACAGGGGCGGCTGACATGGGCTCTTCTCTTCATACTCTCCACGTAGAGGTCAAGCTGCTGCAACCCGTGAACCCGGTTTATTTCCACCTTCTTCTTTAGGACTCCATCCCTCCGCAGGCTTAAGAGCTTTGAGGCTTTGAGGATCGATCTTGGACGAGGGTAGGGAATGGTTTGGGGAGGAATTTTTCGGTAGGCCGACGTCGACTTGAGAGAGTTAGAAGGCGCCAACGCCAAGAGCTGGTAGACCAGCAAAGGCCAGACACCTCTCTTCTTTTCTATCCAATCATAATAAAACGTATCCATTGGTGACACGGTGCACCTTTTTCTGTCTCCACCGCCTCGAACCAACGTGCTAGGCGGGCAACCATTACGCGGTGTTCCGCTGCACTGGTTCGGCTCGGAATGTGGGCTGGTGCCCGACAAAGCGTGAGACGATAAATGCGAACATCTGACAGCTCGCACACAACATCCTACCCTCCCCTCTCTTCACCAAACCAAAAAGGAAGGAGGTCAGGATAGAATGTGATGAGGGTTGACGATTGAGCATGGAGGACTGTGCCGTAGTAGAGAATCGAGTCCCAGGGGAAAAGCGGGACCCGATGGCCCCACGGGAGACATCACCGAAAGTTGTAGCTGCAGGTATTGCTGGTTGTTGAGGTTCTTCTAGCACCCTATCCGGTGATGGCACGTCAACCGCGCGGCGGCGTGGGATCGTGAGGATCGCACGGGCACCTACATGAGACTTCTAGTTGCCTGCCGAGTATTGTGGGCGAGTACGACCGAGTGCTCGATAGGTGGAAGTGGGATCGCCGACTACTCGAAGAACCTTGCGGAGTGACGAGGTACGCCACCGAGTGGGAGACTTGGGAGCCGTCACCGGTTGAGGCTGAGCGCCAATCGCCAAATATTCACACTTCAGCCCCGCCAGGCGAAGGGAGGTGCCTAACAATGCCGTAGTATGCGCCCAGGCCAAAGGGGGAGTGGTTGCGCCTGTCCAGGTTTTGTGTTTCCCAATCGTGAAAGGCCACGATTCAGGGAATTAAACGGGTCTCGCGTCCGAAGCCTCAGGAGGAATGCCTCAGGACGCCTTCGACGCTCTTGAATTTGGGCGCAAATTGACACAGTCGAGGAGGAAAAGCAGTAAATGCTCGGTCGAATCGGCCTACTACCATTCCGGTCTCCTCCGCAATGCCGTGTCGAAATAAGGGTTCCGCGCGGACGTACGGGTGACTGATGACTACGACCTTGGTTTCCAAGCGGGGACGCTACTGGCAACCAGATAACGCACAAAAACACAGGAGAAAACATAGCACCCTTTGAAGGTGGGAACGAGGCGGCCACCACCATGAGGGACGTATGCGGGGCCTGCGCCCTGTAGAGAATAGGCACAACGGTTCCAATAAGCACACCTGCAACCGACCAGGCGCGGCCAACCATCTTGTTGTCACCGCGTTCGATGTCTCCAGTCCGGATATCATTGGTGACACTGCCGACAAGTCATCCGCAGAGACCTTTGGTTTGCAGCCTAGTATCGGGTATTCGCGACCGAGTTTGTTGTTGTTGTTGTTGTTGTTGTTGT